CATTCAGTGTTCCCATGTTCTGTTTGAACAACTGCCTCTTGGTCCAGGTACAGATTCCTCATGAGCACAATTAAGTGTTCTGGAATACTCAGACTTCGCAATGGTGTCCATAGCTTGTCATGATTATTGACTACCAAAAGCTTTCAATAGTGTGGATCATGACCCAAGGATACATGCTAGGGAATAATTTCAGATTCCCAAGTTGACCTGAGGATTCATGATCTTTCCAAAACCTGGAATAAAACCTACTGCAATAAGAAATAATAGGATAAAACAGTTTCAACTAGAATTTTTGGTCTTGTTTTTGTAGCAATGAGATATTAGCATGAAACAAAAAGCAGGGTAGAGAGCAGGTTCAGAAGAGATGATGGGGTCTATAAAAGTTTGTATAGAGTGTACATCTGTGTTTAAGAAGAAGATTTAAACCAAAACTACAGTGATGGAATTTTTTTCTAAGTTTTGACTGTTTGCATGTAGTAAGTCTAACATGTTCGACTGTTTGCATGTAGGAAGTCTAACATGTTTCCTCTAAAACAGCAAAAGCATTTCTACCATCTTTCCACATTTGAAAGCTCAGATAACATGGAGTTGGGTTTTGTGGTTGGTGCAAATACAGTGGTCTTCATTGTTTAAATACATCAGAGATTATGGTGAAGTATTCTGTAGATCACTATTTTATTTTAATTAGCCAAAATATGAGACAGTTAATAGTTTGCAGTTGAGGAAAGAGTAAACGTAAATATCTAATATGATGTTTATATAAGCAGTATAAACCTTCTAGGTAATGGAATATTCTCTGCATCTTTGATAATAATTGCTTTTCAATTTTTATTTTACAAAAGAGTAGCTCAGTACTTTTTTCTCTTGTATTACTACAGGTCATGTGTATTTTAGAGGCCTTTGGACATGCCAAGACGACTGTGAACAACGTATCCAGTTGCTTCATAAAGTATTTTGAACTTCACTTCTGTGAGAGGAAAAAATATTTAACTGGAGGTAAGTGTATAATGAGTAGAAGTGAAAGTATTTAACTGGAGGTAAGTGTATAATGAGTAGAAGTGAAAGTATTTAACTGGAGGTAAGTGTATAATAAGTAGAAGTGAAGCTACTAGTTCGTACCACAAGAGGACAGAAAAACACGCAGTGTTTATTCACATAGCTGATCTTGAGGTTCAAACCAATTTTACAGTCCAGCATATTAACCCAAAGTGCCACACCAGGAAATGCGGAACCAAACTAAAACTAAAAGTAGGTGAAAGCAACCATACTGCCGAAACTTAGAAACTAGCTGAAATACTCAATTTAAGTGAATTATAACTTGAGTGTGTGCTTTCTTCATATAGTCACTGATGTTTATTTTCAATAAATTCAAGTCCACATTTCAAATGAAAGAAAATTTGCAAATCAAGATAACCACCAAATTAAACTCAAACTAAACCCATGTCGCATTTCATTTATATATTTAATGTGCATTTCTTAAAAATTTTCATATTTCAAGCACAACTGAGAAGTCACATTGAATTTTACATTAGACCAGATTATCTAGGCAAATTAGTATTACAAATACCATTTAAGTGGAATGTCTAATATATTTATAGAAATCAATTTCTTTAAAGTCTTTGTAAACACTATCGGCACACAAAAAATGCTAATTATACATAATTTAAAATATAAGTATAAGAAGCAAATCTTAAAATTTTTTATTTGATTTTTACAAGTTACAAATCTTCCCTTAGGAATCAGACGCAGGTTTAATTATCATCTAGAGACAAGAAAGCTATATTTTGCAGCACATTTATATCAAAATTCAACTTTACTTGACAAAAAAAAATGCATGAGAAAAGATGATCATTATACGTTTTGAGGTCACTGACTTAAATTCAGCAATAGGAAACTAGCTTTTCTTTTTTTAAAATCCAAGCCAAGGGTTCTAATTCAAGCTACCGTCTATTCTTTCATGAAACCCTCATAGTAGGGATAAACTGAGCTCTAATCTTAGACTTTTGTCTTGGCCAATCAACAGAGTAAGAAAGTTCCATCAGGGGAAGGTATTTGCTCCAGCCTCACAGCTTGGATCATGAGCCCAGTTTTCTTCATAAACTTTCTGTGTCTAGTGAGCTACAGTCATGATAGCTAGGTGGGCAGGTAGGAAGCTAAAAGACTGACAGGCTGACTGTGTGTCATTGTGTGTCTCAAGCACCAGCTATATTCACATAATTTCAGAGCTTGTTAGAAATGCAGTATCTCAGACCCCAACCCAGACCTCTTGGTTGACACTGTGTTTTAACATGTCCCCAGGTGATTGGCATGTAAACACAAGCGTGCTTTGTTGGTGGTGTTGTTAAGTGCCTTCATGTTGGTTCTGAGTCGTAGTGACCATGTGTAGGGTTTCTGAACAGTATCTGATGAATTTAAACCGCAGACCTTATAGCGAGCTATCCAGGGCTTCTCCTACAGCGCCACGCGAGGACTGCACTCAGGTGTGAGAAGTTCTGTTATAGCCTAGCCCCAAGGAAAGCAGGCCACTCCCACTGATGGGCACTTGGTACAGAGGAGACATTTTTTTATCTGGTGTATAACTTTTATTGTTGTTACGTGCCATTGAGTTGGTTCCAAGTCTTAAGCACCCCCTATACGGTTTGAACTGTCTTAAGGACCCCCTACAGGGACGACTCATGGGTTTGAACTGTCAACCTTGTAGTTAGCAGTCCAGTGCCTATTTTATAATGCCATATCAAAACCCATGACTGAATTTTATCTGGTTCAGTGCCCCCTTTACAACAAAGTGACAAATTTCAAAAGTTGTTATCCATTACGAATTTTGTTTTCTTTGGTTTTCTGAATCGAGTTTAACGTATACATGTTCTCTTCTTCAGAAATGTTCCTCGAGAAAATAATTATATACACACACAAATATAAGACCTGGAAAATGCTGCAGTAAACACTTACTTGTGGCCTTCTGTTAATCAGCAACCTATTAACACCAAGTCCCACACATCTTCAGCATAATCAAATCTATAAATACGGTTCATGCCGCTTGTACAGGCAGCATGCTGTGACACAATGGGGATAAATATGCATAAAGATGAACCTGAAGCATTTCAAGGTCTTGAAATGGCATCTGCATCATTAAGGAACTATTACCACAAGTTCTGTAGAATTTGAGTATTTCGCATAAGTTAGCTGGTTCTTCTGTAGTCTTCTCTGATGGAAACTGCATTGTAAGCATCAAGACAAGCAGTTTCCACTTTGTCTCTGTGTTGCATGTTGCTCGGCCACGCAGTCTGTTTTCCAAATTAATACTCTTAATTCAATTACTGTTACTTATGTGTGGTTGCTAGATAGCTTCATGCTGTGTTCTTTTAAAAATGTGACCAGATGATTTGATGATTGTGTTTTATGGATTTTTAACTGAAGAGTAATACAACCGATTTAAAAACAACAACAACAACAACAAACAACTAGTACTTGTTTTGGATTCCTGGTGTGGTGCTGCAGGATAAGCCCCGGACTGCTTATCTTAAGGTCAGTGGCTCAAACCCACCAGCTGCCCCTTGGAAACCCTGTACAGGGTCACTGTGAGTCTAAATGGATGCAACAACAATTAACAACAGTAACAGCCCTGTTTTAGACTGCACTAATAAGAGTGTAAGGAGCTCTGGTAGCATAGTGGATATGAATCGGGCTGCGAACCGCAAGGTCAGCAGTTCAAAACTACCAGCTGTTCCGCTGGGAGAAAGACGAGGCCTTCTGCTCCCATAAAGATTTACAGCCTCGGTAACCCTGTACAGGGTCGCTATGGGTCGGAACCAACAGAGTGTGGCGCTGTGGGTTTACGCACCAGACTGCAAAGCCCTTTGAACTGCAAGGTCCGTAGTTTAAGCTCACCAGCTGTTCCTCGGAAACCCTAGACAGGGTCGCTATGGATCGGAACTGACTCGATGGCACTTAACGACAACAATGGACATGTAGTTCCTGGAACATAAATGAAAAGAAATCATAGAACTTTGAAGAAGTTGGATTTGGGAGTAATGTTCTTTGTTTCTTAGCTCTTAGAGGAGAAATAGAAGCAATATGTTCAAAGAATGACATCGGGAGGTGGAAGATCCAAGCAACACCCATACAAGATTTGACTGCACGTTGAAGAGGCTAAAAATATTAACACTGAAAAAGAAAAGACTCAAGGAAAATCTAAGAAGTTTCTTCAAGTGTTGTTAGATACGTGCTACCACATAGACAAGGTCTCAAGTACAATGATTAATTTTGCTTACTATAGGAGTCCTCAGGCGCTCTGGTAGCGTAGTGGTTATGAATCGGGCTGCTAATCTAATGGTCAGCAGCTCGAAACTACCAGCTGTTCCTTGGAAGAAAGATGAGGCTTTCTGCTCTGGTAAAGATTTACAGCCTCAGAAACCCTGTACAGGGTTGCTATGAGTCAGAACCGACTCCACGGCACATCACAACAATACTAGGTGTCCTTGTGTGGCACTGTAGGATAAATACTGGACAGCTAACCCCAAGTTTGTCAGTTCAAATGCACCAGATGCTCCTCAGAAATCCTATAGAGGGTCACTATGGGTTGGAGATGACTTGATGGCACACAGCAAGAGCAACACAGAGAGTTGATAGGCATTGAAAAGAAATAGTACCTTCACTTCATTACAAGAATTATCCATCTTACTCTCTGATATTTACAATAACACTGTTCCACCCCAAAGCTGAATGTGTTCAAGTGGATGAAAGGGTAGACACACAGAGTGTTGAAATTATTCCTACTTTAGAACATATGGTTTAGATTTCTTTTAGCTTTACTGTAAGATTTTTAAGAAAGCTTAAAATTCCCTAAGTCCAAACATGAAGTACTCTGTGGATCTGATATTCAAATGGCTGGTAGAGTGATGTCTTTTTCTCATGCTGCAGTAAGAGCTATAACACATGCAATGGCTGGTACAAGCAGACATGTAGTCCATGATAATTTAGGAGACTCGACATCCAAATTCAGGATGCCAACTCTAGGGAGACTGTCTGTTGGATCTGGGGAAACTCCTTGTATCTTTTTAATATCTTTAAACCCAACATTCCTTGGAGATCTTCATGTGTCTGGGAATCAGTCTTCTCCAGGGTCTAAGAGTTCCTCAGCGCCAGCACCCCAGGTCCATTGGACACACTTTACTGCCAACTCTTCTTGTCTTGGTGAGAGTAGGTCCCTCTGCTCTCTGCTCCCTTCTCTCCCCTTTAATGATCAAAGGTGTTGCAAGTCACACCTCAGGGAAACTCCCTTTGCATCAGAGCAGCTTTGTGAAGAAATTAAGTGTGTTACATCCCACCCTAATTCTTTTATTGGATTATCACAGCCTGTCACATCATGGGGACCATCACATATCTGCCACATCCGGTCATTACCTCACTGCCAAACCACTCAGAATCCTGGCCCAGCCAAGCTGACACATATTTGGGGTCAGGACACAACTCAACCCATGCCAAGTGTTTTCATAGCATTTACTTGTTTCTTGGCGGCTTTGGTGCAGAACAAATACAGGCAACATGAATGTAAGGAAACTTGGCTTGTTAAGCTTTACTTTTCAAAATTATTTTCAGTTTAAGGAGACATTATCATCATTCACCAAAAAATTAGGCATTGAGTTTTGAAAGAAATTATGTGTCAGTAGGTATTTCTGAATAATATCATCCCCAAGACTTCTTTTTTGAAAGACAAAAAGAGATATTCTTTAAATGACGACACAAATTTTAAAGAAAGCTGAGTCATCGGTATGAATCTCCTGTGAGAGTGTTCTGTGTTCTTCTTGTTGTTCAATTGCCATAGAGTTGGTTCTGACTCATAGCAACCCTGCATAGACTTCTGGAGGCTGGGAATCTTGGCTGCAGCAGAAAGTCTCATCCTTCTCCCTTATTGGGTTCTTGTCCTACAGTCCCTCCAAGTTCCCGCTGTATTTCTACTGCTCATAAAATTGAAGTGTGGTTGTTATATCTCATAT